TACTTCGGTACCCCATGGGATAGCATGTACTGCGTCAGGAGGTTTCCAAATAATAATCTTTTGGTCCTTTTCCCAAAGCGGGTGCGGTCCATCTCCCCAATCATGAGCTCACCCACATTTATGGGTCGCTCGGTCATCATAAAGTATATCACACATACTCGAGCTCGAGTGCATTCCCTGTTATGCTCAACGGGCATTAATCTAGCCTGCACGAAGTTTTTCAATACCTTAGACGTCTTGTTGAAGCCAAAATAGAGAATCTCAAGGTGGTTATCTCCCTTAGTTTGCATCCACTTCGCAATAGAATCAACGCCACAAAGTGTGTGACGTATTACCCGGTAGCGTGGGCTTTTGACAAACTTTTGTAGACTCTATGGATTAGGGTTATCAACTCCCAAAAAGTAACACAAAGAGCGCCTATCCAGTGGTATATCCTTTCCTCGGACCCATGACTGGAATAGATCTACATTCCAGTTAGCATACAACTCCTGTACCATGCTCAGATTTACAGGGCCCTAACATTCAATGAGCTTATCCATCTTCATCTCTACCAACCGAGCAAGCACATTCGAAAAGTTATTTTCTAGGGCCATCATATTAATCCCCATTTTGGGGACATATCTCCTATATGGCACAAAGTTATCATGCCATTTAATGGTGTCTTATCGAACTAGATCGACCCAAGGCCGTGGTGGCCTCGTCGACCTGCTAGCAACTTGCTTTCCCTTAGCTTCCCGAGAAGAACCTTCACCTTGCTTGCATTTTTTGGGAGGGGGATCAGTAGCGGCGTACTTTCCCACCCCTTTTCCTTTGGTGGAACTATCATGAGCTATAACAACCTACATACTACAAACACAAAGGTAAGAATGAATTAAGAAATTCGCTCAAGGTCATCGTGAGAGGAAAAGATGACCCCACACTTAAAATCGAATGATATTTATAATCTACTCACAATAGTGGTTCAACGTGCACTAATGTGTCATCACAAGGTGATAGGTACTCAATACTTCCCATGCCATACAATTCAAGTAGTCTAACATGGCCATAACTTGATCGTAGGGCGAGCAAGCAATGCTAAAGTCCATATTACGACACTAATATAGTACACTAACTACTACTTACAAGAGTTTACATCAAGATACAATACCCCCAAACACCCCACATTTCTCCAACATCATATACAACTATACTCGGCTACTCAAAATTCACCGGTATTCAATTCAATCTTTTAGGCATTTTATCAAACACCTTGTGGGCATCAATTTTGCTTCTCTTATTTCAACAATGTTGGAAAAAGGTGGCTCTCCAAAATTGAAATAAAGTAGAGGGAATTGTAGTTTACTACTTCAAATAAAACTTCATAACCAATATTGGCAACTAATTTCAGGTTACAGTAGGGCCACCCACCATAACAACAAAACATGTCAAAGACACCTAGGGGACTGTGGATCTCTTGAGAATTGAGGTCATGACAACACACAAAAATTCACAATATACACGAGAAGAAGGAGATGAGGAACATAACTTTGAGTCTTGAGAAGAGAACACACAAACAATAGTGGAGAATTTGAGAGAAAGAGAGGAAGGAGAGAAAAAAATGAAGGTAGCCTGGGTTTCTGTGCGTTATGGTGTAAGAGAGAGAAGATGGGGTTTTGGGTTAGAGTAAATTTGATTTGGTTGGGATAAGTTGGGTATGGGTGAGTATGAGTGTGTATATGGGTAGTTGGTTTGGGTTAACAGGGTCGGGTTAACCAAAAAAAATACAAACAAACAAAAAATGAAAAAAAAATATAATACATAATGAAATCATTACCTAGCCCC